TAGAATTGTAAGGTACCTGAAGGGAGCTCCAGGCCGTGGGTTATTGTACAAACCGGGAGGAAGACTTGAGGTAATTGGGTAATAGATGCAGATTAGTCAGGCTCAGTGTCAGATAGAAGATCTACTACATGTTACTGCACATTTCTTGGAGGAAATCTTGTGACATGGAAGAGTAAGAAGCAGACCGTTGTGGCAAGGGGTAGTGCTGAAGCCGAATATAGAGCCATGACACACACTACATGTGAATTAGTATGGTTGTGGAATCTCCTACAAGAAATCGGATTCTCCATGGACGGACCTATGAAATTGTACTGTGACAATCAAGCTGCACTCCACATCTCATCTAACCTTGTTTTTCCTGAGAGAACAAAGCACATAGAGATTGATTGCCACTTTGTGAGGGAGAAGGTCCTTACTGGAGAGATAAGCACAGAACATGTGGGCTCAAGTGATCCATGGGCAGATTTGTTTACAAAAGGCTTAAGCTCAGGGAGAGTGAACTATATATGTAACAAGCTGGGATTATATGACATATATTCTCCAGCTTGAGGGGGAGTGTTAGAGCTAGCCGAATAAGGGTAGATTATTCATTTTATTCAGTTAAGTTATGTGCTTATGTGGCAGTTCTAATATAGACTTCCTGTCCCATACTTAAGTTGGGGCAGTTTAGTCATTGTACAATTAATTAGAGACTAATCTACATTATGGTTGACTGATAGGGTTTGGCTATCGGGTTCGACTTTCTTCTTCTTCTTCTTCTTCCTTCCTCTCTACTGGTTTGAACTGCTGAAACACAGCTGTTAAAACAGTTACTAATGGTTTAATTTATAGACTTGATTCAACACAATTATTTTGTGGTTACGCCTTCCACAATTTTGAGATAGTAGCTAATAAAGCATAAATATTAAAAAGTATATGTTCCCTTATAAATTATTGTTTATCAATAATAAAAATCTGATTGATGAGGGTGGGCCTTGGCGCAATGGTTGGGTTGCTCGATTGCGATCTGGGTGACTAGGGTTTAAATCTTGGAAACAGTCTCTCTGTATGTGCAGGGGTAAGATTGATGATGATCAAAGAGATATATACAGAGCTAGAACAACAATTAATCTGATTGAAGGGCCTATTCCTATAAAAGATGACGAAGAGCTTAGAACAACAATTAGATGAATAAAAACTTATTAGCACTCCCATGACCAATTTCTGCTCTTCACCAAGCTATCATTCAAATTAGTTGACTGTCCACCTAACTGAGCTGTTCACTCAAGACATGGAGGCTTTCGTGTCTCTTTTATGATGATGACATGTCAAGCAGGGGCCAAAGGAGTATCCAGTAATCCACTCAATAATCATTTGCCATAGGATCACATTCATAACAATCTGCTAGGGCTGCAAATGTATTGGATCAAATCAGATATTAAATAACATTTAAAAATTAAACTAGAAATGAACAAAATACTACATTATTAATAAAATAACGTTGATATTGTTTATCATGAACAAAATGAATTCAAAATTACTAGTATGAAGCTTGGACCTACCACTCTTTAGTTAATATACAACATCCAAACTAGTTTTACTTTTACTAATAGATACAATATAAGTATACATAAGCATATATATTTAAATTGAATCAAATGGATCATATTGAATTAAATATGGTCTCTTTTAATTGGTGTATGTATTTTGGTCTTCCTATCATTCTTTTGTCTGTTTGATTGAAAAATCTTTTGACCAAAAAAAGAAAAAATTCCAGATCACTCTTAACCTTATCAAATGTGAATACAGATTTGGACAATGGGATACCATTTATAGCCCTAAAACCTGCACCAGTACCAAAGGCTCCCAATTCCCATAAAAGCAGTCACCAATGTTGAACTTAACAGCTTCCTAAGATGATTGGAACTGCCTGGTGCTAAATGCAATGGAGATGATATTTTGAGTTATTTAGGCCTCAACTGAAAATCAAAGTGAAAAGGCTATAAACCTGTCTATTCTTGTCTATTTTGCGTGATTTTTTTGGTAGTTAAATAGGCAACAATTACCTATCCAACAAAACTAAGATTGCATGATTACATCAATTTAGTTTTGTCTAATTTATGAATAGGCAAGTTTTTGAAAGAGTTCTACTGTTCTAATAATAGGACTTATTTTGGTAGTAAACTAGGAATATTAGTTTTAAACAATGTTTCCAAAACCATTGTTGACTGAATGGTTGAATAGGTGAACTGGATTCCTGATCGGGTCTAGGGTTTTTGATGGCTTTAATAGTTTCACTAGGTAAACAACTTGGAGGAAACATTTTTCACAAGTTGATCACTCTGGTTCATTTTTTAGATTATTGATTGTAAATGTTGTTTCCTTATTAGAAGTTATATGTCAAACTTGTAATGGATCAGAAAGCCGACTTTTAGAAGTTCCTTGCTATCCGGGGTTTGGATAAGTGAAACAAGTTTTGGATAAGTGAAACTATCCAATGCTGAAGGCATGCCAACTATAGTTTTGGATAAATGAAATAAATCTTACAAGGCCATTATCCAATGCTGGTCCTTGCTATCTGGGGTCTTGTGAAGGGTGGACTGGATATGGACCTAATATTTGACATTTTTTTTTTCACAAAGTGGCCACTTTCAGATTCAAACTCGCTCTCCTACTTATGGGGTTGGGATTTTACTATTGTACCGAGCTGTGGCCCTTGGTGAAACAAGTCTATACAAGGTCCATGTTATTGCTATAAAGGAGAATGATGTCCTTTTGGTTCTTTTTCTTTGGATATAATGATCAATAACAATTCTTGGTGAGTCCATTGGGGGTCTTGTGCTGAGTTTTCTGTGACTCTACTTGATTTGTGAAAAAAAAGGACTCATTTTACAATCTTATTGGATCTTCTTGTCGTAATTTTCTTTTATTCTTCATGATTCTATTTGTGACTTGTGAGAGATTTGTTTGTCTTGAGACTACATTCATAAGAGCCTGTCTACAGGTCCTGGAGCCAGCAAAAGGCTACTAACATTTGATAACTGAATCTGCTGAGGTCACTCTACAGTCATTTTTTGTTAAAGTCAAAGGGAAGCTCTAATAGTAACCAAATGTGAACTAATGCCTTGGTTCCATCTTCTATGTAAAAAGAAAGGCTTGCCTAATAGGATAACTGTCATATGTGAGTTGACTCATAGTGAGTGTAACACCATGAGTTGACACATGAACATGTATAACCTAAATCAAAACTTTTATATAAAATATTTAATATAAAATAAAATATATTTGTATATATAATTTTTACATATAATACATGATATTATATTTTATAATATATTTTATACATATAGTGTAATATACATATTGTGGTCCCAGGCCAGGCCAGTCTAAGAATGACCACCCCTAATTCAAACCTACTCTCTTGGCCCAATGCCATCTGGGACTTGATTCAGGAAAAGGCATGAAACCTAATTCTTGTATATTGAATCATATTCCTGGAGCAATCAATTTTATGTTGTATGGAGACATATCACACAAAAAGGCTTTAGAGTCCTTTTGTTAACCTAAAGGCTCGTAGAATCTACCCACTATAAGTTTTTTTGTTTTTTTTTAAAATTAGTAACTGATAAATCTTTTATTAATTTATAAAAGGAATGAGTCATTACACTGATAGCAAGCTTCCCTATGCACAGGCAAGTTGGCACCTGCCTATCCCACTAACATTGCTTATCTTACAACTGAGCCCAAAAGAATCGATCCCTATGCACTACTTGTTTTGTGAAAGCATCAGCAAATCTGTTTACAAAGTAAAAATGTAAAATAATCTGTTTTTCAACCTCTCAGAACTACCATTGGGTCACCTGTCACAATCTTCTTGAAATTTAATAAATATCCCTATCTCAGTTTCTGTAGTGCTGCTAATGGTTCTGCCTTTATGAAATTTCCTATTCCAGAGGACCCTGGGTTCCGAAGAGAACACCCATCATAGATTGTGATTAGGGAACAGGATTCTTATCTTGAGATTAAAATACCAAGAGACCAGGGATTTCCATTATAGATTGTGTGCTTATATTTTAACCACAACTCTCCTAATGCATGCTCAAATTTGAAGTCCTGATCTTGGAAATGTTGGATAGGTAACCAGATGGCCTAACTTCTAAGGTTAAACAATAATGGAGTTAAGAATGTGGATACATAACAAAAAACATTGTTTGATTTGCATTTTTGTACAAAGTAAAATAAACTGGCCTTAAACTTAACTGCCTCGTTTAATTTCTTTTAAAATTCAGGTTTGCGTTTTTAATGTATAATTATTATTTTTTTTCAAGAATGTGTGCCTTGCTTTAAAAGGGCATGCACCTTGGAGCTTGGTCACTAGAAGGCCACCGTATTCTTGAAAGTGGTAGGCTTATAGAACCACATGTCTGAACTCCTGGCCTATCCAATTGTCTTTAAACTATATGATGGAAAATAAGCTCAATAAGGTTTTTAAGTAGATCTTATATAGCCTAAAGAAATCCTATTTTTGTACGGGTTTTAAACAGAAATTCTTTTGCGAAAAAACTGAAACAAAGTATGCAAAGTAGAGAACTAGGTCCCAATTGAATTGATTTGAATCACATTAATTGTACATAAATAAATTTTAAGATTCAAACAGTAATCTTAAGCTTTTTAAGAAATGACTCAAATGTGGGATTTGATTGGTATACACTTTGGATTCATGATTCAAGTCATGAATTGCTTTATATATTATTAGATTTTTAGTTTTTACAGTTGTGGTTGTATTTGACCTCTGTCAGGCCACCATTTTTCTATCCAATTTCTGATTTGGAAGTTAGGAGTATCTTTCTGGATAGACTTGCATCAATAGAGATTGTGGAGATCTATGATGACTTGGATTTTTTTTTTGTGTAAATACTTACCTAATTGACATATTTCACTATACTTCCTTTTTGTTCTCCCTGTTGCTTGGTATTCATGTTCAAATTCTTACATATGGTGGATGCAATTCATATTGGCAGTTACCACCCATCATGCCTGATATCAACAGATTCTAACACAAGTGCTGCAAAAGAAGCCATATGCCCCTTTTGCCTTTTCATGGAGAGTGGCACTGTTCCTAGAAATGGAGACATACCTTTGGTATGCTTTTCACCAGAGTTGTCTTTCAATAAGATGTTGAGTTGTTTTAGCTGAACTTTTTACTTGTTACAGATATCTAAAGGAAAACGTCCTGAACTGAATATGTTAATTGAACTTTCAAATGCTGCCAAGGATCTTCACTTAAGGTAATAAATTGCATATTCATTAATTTTAGATGGAGCCGATTGTTTTACTTTTTATCCATGCATCATCAGATACTGGGAATTTTATCTTCTTATTGCTGACTGGTTAGCCATGTTATAATATTCATCCCCCCTCCTATGTTATATACTTTCTGAAATGAGTTGAAGGATTATGTTAAGCATGATTCCATACTGGTAGAGTTCAAGGAATAGTTGTCTATGAGCATATGCATATCTATGACTGGTAGGTCTTCCATCCGCCAATAAACCTTCCTCCCATAAACTTTTACCATGGGTCAAAACCTTGTGGTGCTTCCACTGAATGGACCAGTAAGATGATGGTTGGAAGTTGTTCTATAGGCTGCATTTAAAAGTGTTTGTCAATACTGATTTCTCTCAGATTGTACTAAGTAGTTGTAAGTATTATGTGTGCCCTAAAATAAGAGGTTGGACAAAGTTTGTTCAGTTCCCATCTTACAACAGAAATGGTTTAAAAGACATGGGAGGTGCACACCTGGAGGTGTGCCTCCAGGCGAGGAGACATATGCCTTTTGCATCAGGCATGATAGAGATGTGTGCCTCATGCGCAACTCATGCAGAAAGGCAGGAAAAAAGGAATAAAAAGAAAGTAAATAGAAAGAAGGGAAAGAAAGAAAGGAAAAGCAAAGGGAAGGGAAGGAGCATAGTTGTCAAGGCGACAAGGCGCCCTTTGAGTCTCACCTCGCCTAATCGCCAAGCAGTTTTGTACTATGTATTATAAAATGCTTTTTTATTCTTTATTTTTTGACATTATACTTATAAAATAGGCACTATTAAACTAAAATATTCATTTTGTGTGTTTATATACTAATTTCTTTTTATTATTTACTTTTTTGAACTTTCTTTTCCTTTTTTTTTTTCTTCTCATGAATATGTTGATTTTCTATACTTTAACGTGAACTCTATACTTGTGAAAATTATGAATAATTCTTAAGGAAATATGGTTATGGTACCTAGGGAACTACCCTAGGATCTATGCTTTCTACATAAAAAAATCCATCGCTTAGGCTAGGCGACAAGGCGCCCCCTTGTCGCCTAGATTCACCTTGGCACCTTGAAAACTATGGGAAAGAGGGTGACCATCTTATGGAAACTTATGCCTCCTTGTGCTTTAGAGGTTTATGCCTCTTATGTTTTGAACTACGCCTCATGCCTCCAGGTAGTGGAATGCCTCACGTCACACCTCCATGTTTCAGAACATTGCTTACCAGTTATTTAAAAAAAAATACAGTTAGTCATGCTTCTCCTGTTAGTCTGTAAGCAAAGATGTAAAAAAAAAATACAGTTGTGCTTTAGAGGCTTATGCCTCCTATGTTCTGAACTACGCCTCGTGCCTCCAGGTAGTGGAATGCCTCATTTCACTTCTCCATGTTTTAGAGCATTGCTTACCAGTTATTTAAAAAAAAATACAGTTAGTCATGCTTCTCCTGTTAGCCTGTAAGCAAAGATGATATGGAGTTTGCTTGCTGTTAAGATTCTGTTTGCAGTCTGTCAAGTTATTGGGAGGGTGACAATCTTACTGTTTCCCTTTTCCTTGTATGTATATCAGTATTATAGGAAGCTTAATGGGTTGAAACCATTAAATCAATAGAATCAATATTTCGAGAAGCTTCTATTATTGTCCTCAAATATTTAGCTTTATGTTTTTCTGTTGCAACAATAGATGCTTTTCAACATATGTTATGTTATGACTAACTAAATGGTTGTGGCTGCTTTTGCCAGGATTGATGAAAAAGATATGATACAACAACTTGTGGAGAAAGCTCTTGCATGCAAAGCATGCTTATCAGAAATAGTTGATTCTGCGCTTGCTCATTCTGATAAAGATCTCAGATCCATCACTGAAAAACTGTTGATTGCTTTGAAGGTTGTTATATTGGGCCCATGTATCTTTTGCTGTTAATTTCTTCCGCTCATTGATATTCAATTTTTAAGATATTGGGTTTGGGATTGCTATTGCAAACAGGCAGTGTCAATGGCTGGCATCTATGACAAACATGGTAGCTGCAATCTCGAGTTGGCAATAGAAAGAAACAAATGGAAAATTAGAGTCAAGAAACTGTTAGAGAATTCACAAAAGCCCCTGATCCAGCAGATTCATCGACTGTGGAAAGAGGTATATACTGTTGACACCATATTTGGTTCAAATGAGCTACCTCTCTGAATAACAAATGTTTACATATGAGGCAAGGAGGAAGATCACCCCTCCAATACCAAAAAGAAGAAAGAAATATAATATAATTGATTAAACTAATTTATAAAGTATTAAAATCAATTATTACTGCCACAGGTTTATTTTGATGTTGCCAATTCAAGATTCTTTTTGATACCTAACAAGCTTCTCTGTCCACAAAATGGAGTACTCAATCAGAAATATAAGAAACACCAGTGGCATTCTCATTTGTTCATATAAATAGGTTTTATTTCTTACTGCACTAATTCCTGACGTATGGCTTCATACAGTGGCCTCAACCAAATCTAAATTATTTGTTTATCCATCTCTACTTGTCTGTGTGTGTATTAATAAACCATACTTATTGCTTAACTTAATCCAGATACAGCCTTTTTTGTTGTTGCTCTGCAGTTAATCTGTTTAAGAACTTATTCTAGTGTGTATTAATAAACCACACTTATTGCTTAACAAAACTCAACTTAATCCAGATACAGCCTTTTTTGTTTGAGGTCAGAAGAAAAACAGTCCCAAAAGAATGAGAGGACTGATTAAAGAATTGTAAAAAAAAAAAAAAGAGAGAAAACAAGAAGAAGAAGTAGGAAGTCAGCTGTAAGAAGGGTTTAGAGAGATGAGTTGTTCGTACAGCTCTCTCCTTTCCCTAATCTATTTCATTAACTTAATCACTAACTTTTAGTAATTTACAAATTAGCCCTTCGTTGGGCGGAAGCTAATTACATAAATATAAACTAATGTTAACAAGCCCATAAAGAGAAGGCCCATTAACAGAATAAGACGTAAACATAAAAACTAAACATAACAGAAAACATAAACATAAGCTGTGGGTTATGGGCCATTCGGCCCATCTTCTGTACACTCCCCCTCAGGCTGAGCATAGATGTCAATCATGCCCAACTTGCCTGTGTCATGTTGAAGTTTGGCCTTGGAAATTCCTTTGGTAAGAATGTCAGCTTGCTGTTCTTCAGAAGTAATGAATGGTAGACAAACTTCTCCAGGAGCCACTCTTTCCTTGATGAAGTGCCTATCAACTTCAATGTGTTTAGTTCTATCATGTTGCACTGGATTGTGGGCAATGTTAATGGTGGCATGATTATCACAATACATCATTAGTAGTCTATCATACTCAACACCTAGTCCCTCCATCAAAGATCCGAGCCAAAGTAACTCAGAAACTCCATGGGTCATAGCCCTGTATTCTGTCTCAGTTGAAGATCTAGCAACCACAGATTGTTTCTTGCTTCTCCAAGAAACAATATTACCTGTCACCATACTATAGTATCCCGAAGTTGACCTCCTATCATCAATGTTACCTGCCCAGTCAGCATTTGTATAGACTCCTAGCTTCAGATGACCATGTTTGGCAAAAAGAATGCCTTTCCCCGATCTTCAAGTAACATAGAATCCTCTTTGCTACTGTCATATGTGAATCTCTAGGAGGATGCATGAACTTGCTAATGCAGCTAACAACATAAGCAATGTCAGGGCGAGTCATACACAGATATAGTAGTTTCCCTAGTAACCTTTGAAACACTCCCTTATCCTTTAACAGTTTTCCATTAGAGGCAGAAAGTTTGTGACTCATATCAATATGAGTTGCCACTGGTCTTGCACTCAATTTGCTTGTTTCAGTGAGCAAGTCTAGTAAATACTTGCGTTGAGAAATAAAGATTCCATCCTTAGATCAAGCCACTTCAATACCTAGGAAGTACCTCAGCTCTCCTAGGTCTTTAATCTCAAACTTTGTATGAAGGAAGGATTTAAGTTCATCAATCCTTGTCACATCAGTGCTAGTCACTACAATATTATCCACATAGACTATAAGGTATACTACCAATGAACATCTCCTCTTCACAAAGAGGGTATGGTCAGATTGAGTCTGTGTGTAACCAAAGTGAACAAGAGCAGCCCTAAACCTCTCAAACCAGGCTCTAGGTGACTGTTTGAGCCCATAGAGAGACTTCTTCAGCTTGCACACTTTTCCCTTCATATTTGTACCATACATCCCTGGTGGGAGGGACATATAAACTTCCTCATGTAGTTCTCCATTCAAGAATGCATTTTTCATATTTAGCTAATAAAGAGGCTAGTCTGAATGAGCTGCCAATGATAACAGTACCCGTACAGATGTCATCTTTGCAACAGGAGCAAAAGTTTCCAGATAGTTAATCCCATAAGTTTGTGTATAGCCTTTTGCAACCAATCTAGCTTTGTACCTCTCAATAGATCCATCAGCATGATATTTGATGGTATACACCCACTTATAGCCCAATGGCTCCTTCCCTTTAGGCAAATCAACCACTTCCCATGTGTCATTCTTGTGCAGAGCCTCTATCTCAGTTCTCATAGCATCTCTCCATTCTGGTGAAGTAAGAGCTTCTGATACAGACCTAGGTATAGGGCTAGAAGCAACAAAAGAAAGGAAGGCCATAGGTAAGATGTTTGGAAATGCAATGTGCAGTACACTTTCGTTTACCTTTTCTAATAGCCATAGGGACATCAAGATTTAGGAAGGGAGGTTGCAATGTGGTGGTATCAGTACCTGTTGTCTCTTCAGCAACTGGAAGTGTAGGAGGGTCATGTGATGTAGAGGAAACAATCTGCTCACTCTTGGTCCTTTGTTGTCGGTACAACCCGTGATTAAAAAGAGGACAAGGAGGTAATGGAGGACGATTAGGTTTATTGGAACTTGACTCATCAGGAACAGGAAGGGGAAGTGCAAACAACTGAGACAAATACTCCCCTTGGGAATGATGCTTCTCCTGAGATGAACCATAGAAAGGAGTGGACTCATCAAATGTAACATCCATTGAGACATAACGAGTGCCAGTAGTAGGATCAAAGCAGCAATAACCCTTCTATGTGGAGGCATAACTAAGAAAGATGCACTTATGGGCCTTGGGTTCAAATTTGTGTCTCTGGTAGTAGAAATGTGTACATAACAAGTGCAGCCAAAGACACGAAGAGAAAGAGAAAAAATGTCTTTATCTGGGTAAAGAAGGTTAAAAGGAGACTTAAAGCCCAAAACTTTGGATGGCATACGATTGATTAGGTATGTTGCAGTGAGAACATCGCCCCAGAACTTTGTAGGAACATGTGAGGCAAACAAGGTTTTTCTTGCAATTTCAACTATATGACAGTTCTTTCTTTCGGCTACTCCATTTTGTTTTGGAGTACGAACACAAGAGCTTTGGTGGATGACCCCAAAGTTAGTGAGACAAGAGGTTAGGTTCTTTTCAAAGTATTCTTTTGCATTATCGGATCTGAATATTTTGATCCTTGTATCAAATTGGGTAAGAACAAATTCATGAAAATGTCTTACAAGCTTGGGAACTTCATCACGAGATCTCATAAAAAAAACAAGTATACTGGGAGAAATCATCAATGAACAAAATAAAGTATCGATAGCCACCCATAGAAAGTAAGTGGTATCGCCCCCACACATCAAAGTGCACAATATGAAATGGAAAGGTGGATCTTTTATTACTCAAAGGATAATTCCTTCTACAATATTTTGATAATTCACAAGACTCACAATGAAGTCTAGACAAGTTAATCCCCTTAAACAATTCTAGGAATAAATGACTCAAAGCAAAAAAGGATAAATGACCCAAACGAAAATGACATAACATGACATGACTAAAAAACTGAAGAAGTAGACCCAAAAGCAACTCTCTCAAGCTACCCTTGGTTTTGTCAAGGAGTTTTCATTAGATATATTCCATTCGCCTCATGGCCACTCCCAATCACTTTTCGAGACTTCAGGTCCTGAAAAAACACAATAAGAAGGGAAGAAGGTGTAGAGAAGATGGGCCGAATGGCCCATAGACTGTCATTTCATGTTATGTTATGTTTCTCTCTRTTGTGGGCCTTATTCTGGGCCCATACTCTGTAATATTCTGTTTTTTGTATTTTCCTGCTCACTCAAGGGCCTCTCTGTAATTTGTCAAAGATTAACTTATTAATAAGATRTTTMGAGTGTTAGAGAGTGTTAAGGTTCGAATCTCTTACTCTCTAACACTCACTGCYGCYAGCTYTCTCTTCTCTTCCTCTCTTGTTTGCCCATTTTCTGGTTTGCATCTAATCTCAAACAGTTCCATACATCAAGTGGGCTGTTTTTCAACT